ATCCTTGTTTTCATTTCTTTTGAAAGGAAATTTTCATGATTTAAATTTTTATATTTTTAGACTAAGCCTAATTAGCATAGTTTTTCGTCATTTATGCAACACAAGATCAGACCACAATACATTTTTTATTGAAATCCTTAGTAAATTGTTGCTAGAAATAATTTTCTTTATTTACGCTAAAGTTCTAAATTAATGAGATATAATAGTTTTAAGAATTTTATCATTTTTTTAATTTATTTATTTATTTAAATTCTATTTGGATGCGTGATTTTGTACAATCAATCTTATTAAAGGTTTAATATGATTTGTATTATTTAAATTTTATAGTACTATATGTAATAATTTTAAAAGTGAAATCAATAATTATAATTGTGCAATTTAGTGTTGTTAAATGGCTAAGCCGAGTCGACTTAGCTGCGACTTGAGCCTAGTTTCTAGTCGAAAAAACTACTCCGATTCGAGTTGACTCCCGAGGCGATTTTATAACAAAAATAAAAATATAAAATAATATATATAATATTTCATAATATAGTTTTTAATATATACCTATACTTTTTTTAGACATCCTCTTTTTAAAATCACTTATTAAAATTGTTGCAAACGAAATTATATCTTTGCATTTCCTTAATAAGCCTAAAATAAACTCAAGTAAAGCATTAATAAAATTAATTTCAAGCTAATAAAAAATTTCTAAACCATCCCTCCATTCGCAACCTCTTCTCTCAAAAATGTTTGAAGAATTTGTAATTTTTGAAATAATGACCATAATTTAAAATTTGTAGAAAAAAAGCATTTATATAAAAGATAAAATCAGAAATACTCACATCATCCATAGTCTGTCATGGTTAGGACAAAAAAATCTTTTAAATCCAATTTTCTAAAAAAATATTTTCTTTATAAAATATATAATAATTATTTTAATAGCTTATAATTTTGGGATTCAGAAGATGTTTCACTTATTCAGATTAGTTTATTAATATTAAAATTATTAAGGTTTGAAAGAAAAATGTCCCAATCATCCCCGGTCACCCCTAATTCGGTCATATATAGATTAGAAAAAAATACTAATCTTTTGAATTATTGGGAAACTGTAAATAGTTAGCCAGAAATTTATAAGTTAGCTATACCTGTCCTAGCAGTTCCAGCAGGTATCCGTAGAAAGAGAATTTTCTAACCTTAAGTTTATACTCTCTGCGCAGAGAACTAAATTAAATCCTGAAATATTAGAAAATAATTTCGTTTTCCTTTCTATATCTCTTTAAACATAAACAGTATGAATTTTATTATATTTATGTGTTATTTTATTCCTCTTTGTATTTGCGCATGTTTAGTTTGTTTTATCTTATTTATTTATATAATAAAATTAATTAATTTGTCTAATTTATATTTACTGTTTTATAAAAATATCTATTAGATTATCATAGTTAAAAGATTTTTCTCTAAGATTAATATATATGATTTATGATTTAAGATATTTTTTTGGTATTTATTACAATATTTATTAATAGATATTTTATAACAAATAAATAAAAAAAATTTTAAATAAAATTTGGTGATGCCCAGCAGCTCCGTGAAGTTGGCCGAACGATTGGAAGCACTAACGATGAATCATATGTCATTTTTTAGTGCTTCGTTAGTGCTTGTTAGTGCTTCAATCCGTATAGTAGCCGAATTTAAGGAAAAAAAAGTTATAGGCAAAAATAAAAATTTGTGCCAACTTCACGCCTAAAAGTCGATTGGAAGCACTAACGATGAAACTTATATCATTCTTTAGTGTTTCGTTAGTAGAGGTTAGTGCTTCAATCCATTTCGTAGCCGAATTTATGAATAAAAAGTTATTGGCGAAAAAAACAAAATTAAACAAATATTGGCGACTTGCCAAAACAAAAACTATAGGAGTATTAAACATCCGGTTTTCATCATTATTTAGTGCTTAATTAGTGTATTTAAATTCCGTTATTAATTTGGTTAACCGTCTTTATAAAAAATTGTAATAGGCTAAAGAAATGTTTAGAGGTCAAATTATGGCCAGAAAATTATAAAAGCACTAACGATGAAATTTATATCCTTCTTTAGGGCTTCCTTAGTAGAGGTTAGGGGTTTAATTACTTTTGTAGCCGAATTTAAGAATAAAATGTTATTTGCGAAAAAAACAAAAATAAACAAATAATGGCGACGTGCCAAAACAAAAACTATAGTACTACTAAACATCCGGTTTTCGCCATTATTTAGTGCTTAGCAAATTTGAATACCGTAATTAATTTGGTTAACCGTCTTTATAAAAAATTGTAATACGCTAAAGAAATGTTTAGAGGTCAAATTATGGCCAGAAAAATATGAAAGCACTAACGATGAAATTTATACACTTCTTTAGGGCTTCCTTAGTAGAGGTTAGTGGTTCAATCACTTTTGTAGCCGAATTTAAGAATAAAAAGATTTTTGCGAAAAAAACAAAAATAAACAAATAATGGCGACGTGCCAAAACAAAAACTATATTAGTAATAAACATCCGGTTTTGCCATTATTTAGTGCTCAATTAGTAAATTTGAATTCCATAATTAATTTGGTTAACCGTCTTTATAAAAAATTGTAATACGTTAAAGAAATGTTTAGAGGTCAAATTTTGGCCAGAAAATTATGAAAGCATTAACGATGAAATTTATATCCTTCTAGAGGTTAGTGCTTGAATCATTTTTGTAGCCGAAATTAAGAATAAAAAGTTATTTGCGAAAAACCCAAATAATGGCGACGTGCCAAAACATAAACTATAGTAGTACTAAACATCAGGTTTTGCCATTATTTAGTGCTCAATTAGTAAATAACGTGTTAAAAAATTCATAATTTTTTTCTCGTGGAGTAGAATATAATAGCAGTGCCAATTTATTACAGGACCCAAAGGTTTAAGAACATCTTTCTATCAAAAACTTTTAACTAGGATTAAAATAAATTTAAAAAAATTTTCACAATCTTTTTTTTCCTTGTGGAGTAAAATATAATGGCATTGCCAATTAATTGCTAGATCCAAGGGTTTTAGAACATCTTTCTAATATCACAATTTAAGTATATAACAACGTCTTACAAAAAATTCATTAATTTCTTTCCTCGTGGAGTAAATTATCAGCATTGCCAATTTATTACAAGACCCAAAGGTTTAAGAACATTTTTCTAGTATCAAAAACTTTTAACCAAGCTTAGGATAAATTCTTTTTAAATTTTCACAATATATTTTTTCCTTGTGGAGCAAAATATAATAGCAGTGCAAATTTATTACTAGACCCAAAGGTTTTAGAACATCTTCCTAATATCATAAACATTTAACTAGGTTTAAAACAACGTCTTAGATAAAATTCGTAAATTTTCCTCGTGGAGTAAAATATAATAGCAGTGCTAATTTATTACAAGACCCAAAGATTTAAGAACATCGTTCTAGTATCAAAAACTTTTAACTAGACTTAAGATAAATTTTTAAAAAATTTTCACAATTTATTTTTTCCTTGTAGAGTAAAATATAACAGCAGTGCCAATTTATTACAAGACCAAAAGGTTTAGGAACATCTTTCAAGTATCTAAAACTTTTAACTAGGCTAGATATGTTTTTAAAAAGTTTTCACAATTTATTTTTTCCTCGTGGAGTAAAATATAATAGCAGTACCAATTTATTACTAGAACCAAAGATTTTTGAACATTTTTTTAATATCAAAAACAATAAACCCAGATTAAAACAAACTAGCTTAATTTTCTATATATTTTGTCGACCCAGTAAACCAACCCAGAAGGTCGACCCAGTAAACCAACCCAGAAGGTCGACCCAGCAAGCCATCTCAGCAGGTCAACCCAAAAATTCGACCCAGCAGACAAACCCATCAAGCTAACCCAGCAAGTCTACTCAGCAGGCCGACACAGCCAGCCAACCCAGCAGGCCAACCCACATAGCCGACCCGATGAGTCGGCTCATGAGACCTGGGTCGGGTAGGGTCTGATCTATGGCCAAATTGATTGGCTCGGGTTTAGGGTCGTTTTTTTCTGCTCAAACCTTGCTGGGTTTTTGGCCAAGCCGACCCGACCCGGCAATTTAACAACACTATTATAATTTAACAATATGGCAATTCATAGTTTATTAATTTTAATTTAACATTATATATGGCAATCCGTAGTTTATTAATTTTAATTTAACATCATATATTGATTAGACAATTTATTTTAACATTAAATACGGCAATTCGTAGTTTAGTCATTTTAATTTAACATTAATTACCTCAATTCGCAGTTAAGACACTTTAATTTAAGATTAATTACAGCAATTCTTGGTTTATTCATTTTAATTTAACATTATATACGTCAATTTTAGTTTATTCATTTTAATTTAGCATTAAATACGATTCGTAGTTTAGTCATTTTATTTTAACATTAATTACTGCAATTCTCAATTAAGACACTTTAATTTAAGATTAATTACGGCAATTCGTAGTTTAGTCATTTTAATTTAACATTAATTGCAGCAACAAACACAGAATAATGAGTCATATTAGAAAATAAAACTAATTTATAAAATACATAAATATCAAAAACAAGTAATGATATATACTTATTAAAGATAAAGAATAATATAAACAAGTATATTTTTTTTTATTAGAGATGCCATTTAGGCATATATGCCTAATATAAGCTATATTTAAAACAGCACAGAAAAAACCTACAAATTCAAATACCATGAAAAAAATTATTCAACCTAGTATCAGAATCATTTAATGCAATTAATAAAATAAGACCAACAATTACCCCCAAAAAATCTGATAAATTGATATGTACATTTTGTTAGTCTTTACACTCTTTGATCTAGTTGAACAGCCTAAATTTGTTACAGTGATGGAAGGTTAGATAATTTATATATATATAAATTGATATGATATTCTAAATATTCATAGTAACATTGGATCATTTAAATTTTTTTTGAGGAAGTCTTTTACGAGAAGAATAGAGGAAATTTTGAAATCATGTACACTTTATAAAGTATTTTAAAAGCCCAATCATATATCTACAACACAGCAGATTTGGGGTCTACAAAAACCCGAAGTTTTATGGAAATAACAGCTCACTGGGTAATATTAATACCTTATTTTAAAAAAAATTTAAAAATTATTTTAAGAATGAGAAACACTTGAAAGGCAATCATAAGCCTTGGAGTGTAGAGGAATACCTGGCACATATTCACTTAACTAAATTGCTGAGATATTGGAATAAGTTTATAGAGAGTATGGGATTTCTGATAAACTAATTACTACTGTCACAGATAATGCATAATTTTGTCAAGTCACATGAATATTGTGAAATTAAATGCTCTTGACAACGATTTTGAGGATGAGGGTGACCTATTAGAGTTTAATAAAATCAATAATGGTTAGTACAGATTTTTTAAAATCTTTATATTTAGATGATATAAACAAAATAAAATTACCCAAGCACATTAGGTGTGCCTATAACACTTTGTCCTTAATTGCAACTAAAGATATTATTTCATCAATATCAAGCTCAAAGAATCTTGAAAGGATTCATTATGGAGTAATGGGGAAATGCACAAAATTATGGAATGCATATGGAAGCCCCAAATCTTCTGAAAAGATAAAGGAGATAACAAGTGGTATTCAGATAAAGATTCCATGCATAACGAGGTGGAACAATTTATATGATAGTATGACTTCATTATGAAAATATAAATCAAATTTAAAACTATTATTTAAAACAATTGATTGTCCTATTTTAAAAGAAATGGATATTGTTTATATGGAGGAATTGTAAAGTTTCAGGCCCTATAGCAATTGCATTAGGCAAACTACGAGGGCAGAATAGTACATTTTATGGGAAATTAGCGCCTATACTATTTGTGGTTAAAAGAAACTTAGATAACTTGAACATTCAAGTTCACAATATTGTATACCTTTATTAAAAGCTAAATGCTATGGGCAAAAGATTAAGGAAATTTTTTCTTATGATGAATATAATGAGGCCTTTTTGGCATCACGATCACATCCATATGCATTGAGTCTGATGATAGAAAAAATATTTTCAAAATATATTACTAAACGAAGCCTTAAATCTAGCATAAATAGTATAGATAAAGTTCAAGCTGTATCACCAAAAGATTTAATATTTAATAAAGAAAATGATGATTATTTTTCTTTTGGTGAAACAAATGTTGTTGAGTTCAATAATACAAACAACATTGAGCTGGAGGTTTTAAATTATATTAAAGATTGCTGAATAACACTAGAAATGCTTAATTTTTATCCTTTAATTAAGGAAATATTTAAAAATATATTACTGCCATACCTTTATCAGCTCCTATTATATGCCAAAACAACAAAGGTTCAATGATAAATTTTTTGAAAAATTGATTATTTTAAAAAATAATCATTTGATTTAATTTATTTTTACACAATTGAAAATTTTCAACTCGCATTAAATATATTATTCTCCCTTTCTTGTTTATGATATTAATGGGCAAAAACTAATATTAAAATGCCTGATATTATAATTAACTTATCAATAAATATTTTATTAATTATTTTAAATATTCATTTTTATTATATGCGTATTTCTTCACAATAAATAATAAAAACTGTATTTTATAAACTATTCAAATTTAATTGGTAACGATAATTTAAAAGTATCTTGTATTTAAGTAGCAAAAGATACATGTATCTTTTATCTTGTATCTTTTTGATATTTTGAAAAAGATACTAGTATTTGTAGCTAAGATTTTTTATAAAGAATTTGTATCTAGATTCTTTTTTTCCGGAGGACCTACCTAACTCTTATCAATTACCCCTAACACTCGGGTTTAGTAAAGGTGGACAGGTTGTGATTTAATATTACATATATTATAATTGATAAAATTATTTATTTTAAAAGATGTATTAATATCGAGCCAATTGATTATATTTATTAAGTTTAAAAGAAATTGTAAGATTATTTACTTGATTATTTGTAAATATTTATGTTTTAAATTATTTCAAAAGAATAAAAAGAAAAAAAATTATCATAGCAAAGTATCAAAATATATCGCCATCCGCGGCGTTACTTCTAAATTTAAAATAGAATATCCCTAGTACTATAATAAATTCTACAAGAATTTTCTTATCTACTCGTATTTACAATTACAAAAGTTTCCTTATCCATTATAGGATATTATATAATTAATTAAGTAATAATCGTTATAAATTTAATGAATATAAAAATATCGTGGTTATAAATTTGTCTAAAAATTAAAGAATAGTGATGATAATAAATTGTGGCCAAGTGAATATATAATAAAAGTTAAAATGGCTGTAAAACATTTTAAATGGGTTTATAACTGTGTTATTAGGAAGGGTAAATCTAAATGTGCTGATGAAGATACAGTGCATTTTTTGGATTTATGGATATTGGAAGAAATAATTAAGTTATGGGGTGGAATTGGATATTAAAAATTGTACCCTATAATAATTTTTGGAATATTGTTAAGGTAAAAATAAAATATGATATTGAAATAGCTGGAAAACCAAAGAGATTATAAAAAAAATATATTGAGAATAAGATTCCAGGAAATATTAAAATTGAAATGGTTTCACATTATCATAATTCGATTATATTAATATTATTATATTTAATGTATAAAATTAATTAGAAAGGGAAAGGGAAAGATGAATATCATGAATACAATTATTTTTATGTAGCAGCTATTCGTCTTTAGTCCCATACGAGTGCTGAAATTGCATTCAAGCTGCAGTTAATCGACCTTAGTTCCATGCGAGTACAGAAATGGATGGGAATTATTTTCATGTCAAATCGTTAAATTGTCTTTAGTTTAATACAAGTGTAGAATATAAGGAGTTTCTTCTCCACCAGCTTGTACAAGCTGGTGCCTCTCTCCACTATGAAGGGATTTTAAGATGTAATTAAACAAACTTTTATTAAATGTAATTGAATACAAAATAACTGATGATATTATGAAGTAAAGTAATTCAATTATTGTTAAATATAAGTAACAATTTTATTAATGGATTTTGTATTGTAGAAGACTTAAGGTTTAAAACGATATATTATATTATATTTAATATTAAATTGATGTTTTGAAAAGTTATACAATGATTTTTTATTTAAATATTAAATTCATGTTAATAATTTAATGGAAGGCTATAAAAATTAAAAATTATATTTTAAATTTATTTTATTTTTATTAACACTAAAATATTTAACATTTTGTGCTCTATATATATACATTTTAAATTTACATTTTTACTGTTATATTTGAATGTTTATATATATTTTAAAAGGTTACGCTATTTGAATTATATATTTCTTACATTTTATATATCTTATGGAGGTCAATGTAATTGCTTATTAGTTGTAGTTAAATGACATAATTATAAAAGACTATATATAGGAAACAATTTTATAATAAAGAATCTATTGTTTTGACTATAAAAAATGGCGACGAAATAAAAAAAAAATTTAAGTCGCGCGGTTTTCGGTATTCGGTCAAGTTTAATAATATATAGAATTATAAAAAAAATTTTCTGTTTATAAAAATTTTTTTTTTATATATTTAGAAATTATGGATAAAATTATTCTCCAGGACTTTAAAAAGGAAGATTGTTCTATCGAGGACTACGTTGATTATATCAAATATATACTAAATGTGAAAAATATTCCTCAAACTGACGCCACTTTAAAAAAAATATTTATAGCTTATGGAGGAATAAACATTATAACTGATATCAAAAATTACTCTATCCTAGGAATATAGAGGAGGTAGGATGGATTGACATATATAAAATAGCAAAACAACTATATAAAGATAAAGAACTATTTTGGCATCAAGAATTGATTTCATTAGATTAAGTCGCGGGGCTACTGAATCCGTAATGAGCTATTTAAAATATATAAAGGAGCTAGCCCGAAGATGCTAATTTGAAGACAATGTAGAACTGAGAATTCGAGATCAATTAATCGCTGGACTAAAGATGTCATAACTGGATAAAGAACTACGATTAAGATATCCAGATACTAAAGACGAAGACCAACCGTTAAGCTTAAACAAAGTGGTAGAATTGGCTTTAGCGATGGAACGAGCCTAACTTAGAAATAAATAATACTGCTAAAATGGTATATCAAATCAAAGAGCCGAATAAACATGATAATAATAATCGGGTAAATCAACATGATAAAAATAATCGGCAGTATAATAATAATGATAATGATAAACGGCACTATCAAAAGGATAATAAAGCGTATGTAAAAAGTGAAAGTGCCCTGGTATAATAAATACCGTACAAATAATAATAGTAATTGGAGAAAACCATGCTATTTCTGTAATCGGTTTCATGCTATTAGAAATTCTCCCGCCTACGGAAAATTGTTCAGCAAATGTAGGAAACCAAACCACTTCGCTCTATGTTGTAAATCTAAAAAAAAGATTTACGGAACAAATTACAATAAAAAAGAAGATGATTTGAATGTCTCAATAAGAAAATACAAATATGGGCAACATTCAACAATTGAGGTATTAATAAACAACCAAAAAATTAAAATTAAATATGATACTGGCTCGGCAGTAACCATTATTAATGAAATAAGCGATTAAATCATTTATACGTGGTTTAGGATACTTGAAATCTTGTAAAGCAGGGTTGATAGTATTTTTGAAGTCGGCGCAGAGCCTAAGTGAGCCATCGCTCTTATAAACGGGAGTGAGAGGACTAGCCCATCTAATATCTTCAACAGGTTCAATAATTTTATCGTTTATTTGAAGTTCTTTTGTTATCAAATCAAATCAACTCTAGAATATGGTATACGCCTTGGCGGTATGATTTTCGGTGTGGCATCGTGTTTTAAACCTAATTTGACATAGCTGCGTAGCATTGGTTTTTTGTTAAGTTTAAAATTGCAAAGCTTGATTAATTCTTGTATGGTATTATCATAATCATCCTCGACAATATTCACAAATTTATCTAGTTATTCCCAAAAACTGTTATCCAGGTCCTTCCTAACAGTGCAATCTTATCACTCTGGACTACATAAGCAGTTAAGATTTGACTTTTGTCCTCGAATTTTGCCTTGACTTTGGTAGTACCTAATACATTTATTGTGTTTCCATCATATCCAGTTAATTTAATATCTGATTTATTTAAGATTTTTACTCCAATCTTTTTCGCGATATGAATCGGTAGAATACTATACCGCGAGCCGGTATCAATCTGCATCAAAATAGGCATGTCGTTCAAATATAGATATAAGCATCGTTAGCTGTGTAATTATTATCGGTATCCATATTGTTTATGTCTAAATTGTATAAATTATATTCTTTTCTTTCTAGTTTGTCATTATCATCTTCTTTTATCTCTTCTATATTTACAGTGTTTACTTTATTTGTATATCGTAATTGATTATTGTCGTTGTTATGATATTTACAATTGCATACTTGATTTGTTCATCGATTTCCAATATTATGATTATCGTTATATCTTTGAATACATCTTGAATCGTTATAATGTCTGTTATATCTATAATTATAATATTAAATCTATTATTATCAGAGACCTGCGGAGGTACCATTTGCACGGCCCGGCCCGGTTTTAAATTTTTTAGGCCCGGCCCGGATATTTAAAAAAAAATTTTTTACGGCCCGGCCCGGATTTAAAAATTTAAGGCCCGGCCCGGATATTTTTTAAAAAAAATTTTTACGGCCCGGCCCGGATTTAAAAATTTCAGGCCCGGCTCGGAATTTTTTAAAATTATATTCGACTTGGTATATACAAAAATTCACCTATGAGGTATTTTACCATATTTTTCAGCGAGTATTATCGCTTATTATTTAAAAAATACATGTAAAAAGCTAATATTTTGAGAATATTATATTGAATTTATAAAAATTATAAAACTGTTATTTATAAAAATGGATATTTTGAGCATATACTATATTTTATATTGCATTTATAAAAATATAACTAATATTCATAAAAATGGTAATAATATTTGTCATATACTATATTTTATATTACATTTAAAAAAAATAAAACTAATATTTAATTTATAAAAATGGAAAATATTTTGAGAATATAATATATTGTATTTAATTTATAAAATAAAAATAAATCGCTATTTAAAAAAATGCATGTATAATAAATAGTATTTTGAAAATATAATCTAATTGCACAATATTAATATAATTTATTTTATAATATAAATTTTTAACAAAAGAAGATAATTGTATTATATAATATTGTAAAAAAAAATAATGAAAAATGTTGGATTAAAAACTTTCATGACTCAAGGTAAATATAATAAATGCAATAAATATTTGACAGTTTGCAAAGTAAAAAACCAGCATGATTGACGAAACCCTATACTCAAGAAAGATATTAAAAATTCACAAATTATCATGAAGAAAGAGAAGCATATCTACCTTTTCAGGTTGAAGATTACTTCTTCTTTCTTCAAGAATTCTCCCAGTAGTGGAAAAATTCCGCTCACAGCTTGCACTTGCCAATTTTGCTAAAATTGGAAATTCGCTTTGATGAGCCGCCCACCACTCTAACAAATTATCCACCTTAAATGTTTTATCTATTATTTATGCAATTATAATATTCATCATCAGGTATTGACATATTACCAGAATTACCATCGCCCCATTTGTCATAAAACGATTCAGTTTGTTTAACAACAGTCGTAATTTGACTGGTCGATGGTATTTCATTTACTTCCTGAGCCTCTTGTAATTTAATATAATCTTTTATATAGTTTTCCGTCATTTTGCGATCTGTCCCTGACTACATACGTAATTGCTTGAATTTGGGACAGAGAAAAAGAGAAATAAAATGATACTTGTGTAAAACAAATTTTACAATTAAAAAATGCTTTATATTAAGTAAAATCAATTTTATTTCTCCTTTTCGCTTTGAAGGGTATTACAAACTTTAAGAAGTGATATTCCTTTATTTGATTGTTTTGGTAAAATATATTCTAAAAATTTAGATATGAATTATAAAAAAATATATAATACTTGAATATTGGGGCTTATTTAAGATATTCCTTTATTTGATTGTTTTGGTAAAATATGTTGTAAAAATTTAGATATGAATTATAAAAAAAAATATATTAATACTTTTCGATCTGTGGGTTGTTAGGTAGTGTTAACCATCACCCAATATTATATTAATCATAACTATAATATAATATAATCTTATAACCATTTACTAAGAATGTAAAAATTTTTATAAAAAATATTAAGGCCCGGCCCGGCCCGGGTTTAACAATCTTAGGCCCGGCCCGGATATATTAAAAAAAATTTTTTTAGGCCCGGCCCGGATATGTTTAAAAAGTTTTTTTAGGCCCGGCCCGGGTATATTTAAAAAATTTAAAATACGGCCGGGCCGGGTTTAGGGTCGGGCCTGCAGGTCTCTGATTATTATTATAGTCATTTTTATTATAACTAGCTCTATTATCAAATCTCGAAGAATTATTGTACGATCCTGGATAGTTTGCTCAGACGTTGTTGTAATAATTCGCATTATAATTCTGATATCTAGGGTTGTAATTATTTCCTTGATATCTGGGGTTATAACTATTTCCTTGATAAATATTTCTCTGAAAGTCATGGCCTCTTGTTGTCCATCGTTGTCTGTTATCGTAATTAGATTGTAAATTTTATCGTTCATCATGGTCTCCATATCTCACCAATTGTTTATTTTCTTCTGTTTTCCTGCCTTTTTGCCTTTCTACATGTTTCACGGTTGTATCATCTTCTGTTTTTTCGTTTAAAGAAATATTTTCAACTTTAGCAATTATATTTTCTTTCAATTCTAACTCTTCAAAATCATCTCTTAAAGTAAGAACTTCTTCTATTGTAATGTTTTCTTTTAACGTAATTTTCTGCCTAATATTTTTGCTGATTGACGAAATTTTTACTTTTTCAATAACTCTACTATCACTTAGCAAACATTCATTTTTAAAATGCATAATCTACCTACCCAATTGATGTAACTTTTGTTTTTACCTTGTAAAGCTGCGTTAAATAATAATAAGTTGGAACTTGTGGATTTCCTCAGGTGTAATAACCTGAATTTTTCAATCAATATCGATGGATTGATGAAGTCGGTAGGTGAACATATCGATTTAAGCTTGATATATACCTCATCTGGTAGTCTTGTAAAAGAACCTGCTTTTTCGATGTCCAAGATCTGAGTGTCCTTGAAGATGTCTTCGAATCTACTCAAAAAAAGATCGCCATTGCCTGCGTATATTGGAAATTCAATATTTATATTAACATTATTATTGGGAATCTGTTTCATATTTATTTATTTATTTACGATTTCCTCGAATATATAGCGGAACTGCCACCATAAATACTTCTAATATATTTGAAGTAATGATACGAGTTTTCTAGTATAAAGATTGTTTATTTTATTTTAAATTAATAATTTAATTTTATACAATATATTTTAAAATTTTACATTTTTTTATCAAACTAAAAAAATCTGGTTTTTTATAACAATTTTCATATTAATATATCAAAATTTATATAAAAAAAATCAATCTACACAATTTATAAAAAAAACTATTTATATAAACATTAAAAAAAACAATTTAAAGGTTAGTATTAATCGGTCATATTAACAATAAGAGTAGTTCTAATGTTCGTCCTTTATATTGTACTTTTACTACAGTGGTATATTGGTTCCTGTATAGCTTAGGTTTTAGAATGCAATTTGTTAATCCAGGACAATTAAGTTTATTTTTCCAATCTATTTCGTTAATTATGCTTACCCCAGCTCAGATATCTAATTCCATTCTGAAATTGCTGTTGTGTATTTTGACATTCACCCAAAATTCTAGATTATATTTGTTATATTTTAATATCTTATATATTTTAAAGGTTACGTTATTTGTATATTATATTATTATAACTTTCCTACATTTAATATTATATTATGGAAGTCAATATAATTGCATAATATTAGAAGTTAAATTACATAATTATAAAATTTAAAATAAAGAACCGATTGTTTTGATTACAAAAAATGACGACGATGTAAATAATAAAGTCGCGCGGTTTTTCGGTCTTCGGTCAAGTTTAATAATATATAGAATTATAAATATTTTTTTGTTTATAAAAAAAATATTAGATCTGTTTAGAAATTATGGATAAAATAATATTAAATGATTTTAAAAAAGATGAATGTTCTATTGACGACTACATTGACTATATAAAATACATATTGAATGTTAATAATATTCCTCAAACTGACACCACTTTGAAAAAAATATTTATAGCTTATGGAGGAATAAATATTAAAACTGATATAAAAAAATTACTCTTTTCAAGAAAAATTGATGATGTAGTATGGGCAGATATATACAAAATTGCAAAACAACTTTATAAAGATGAAAGAACTGTTTTGGCATCTAGAATTGATTTCATTAGATTAAGTCGCGGCCCTACTGAATCCGTAACGAGCTATTTAAAAAATATAAAGGAGCTAGCCCGAAGATGCGTATTTGAAGATACTATCAAAATGATAATAAAACATACGTAAAAAGAGAACCATTGCAAGGGTATAATAACTACCACACAAATAAAAATAATATGAGAAAACCGTGCAATTTTTGTAATCGTTTTCATGCTATTGGAAATTGTCCAGCATATCTGGGAAAAGGTGCAGCAAATGTAAGAAATCAAACCACTTTGCCGTGTGTTGTAAAACTAGAGGAAAAATTTACGGTATAAATTACAATAATAATGACGACTATTCAGATTTCTCAATAAGAAAAATCTACAAATATGGACAGCACCCAACAATTACGGTATTAATAAACAACCACGAAATTAAATGGAATATGATACAGGTTCAGCAGTAACCATTATTAATGCAACAATATGGAATAAAATTGGGAGGCCAAAACTTAGAATGGCTAGAGCTCCAACTACATATGGAGATAATAGAATAAAAATTATGGGCGAAGCTTATGTTAAAGTGCAATTAGATGATAAAATAAAATAGCTTCCGTTATTAGTTACAAAAACAAATGATGCATCACTATTTGGATTTCATTGAACTATAGAATTTGATTTATCGTTACCAACAATTGTAAAAATCAATATGATTAACAATAAATATAATAATAATGATAATGGTAACGTGAATATTGACAAACTATATAAAGAATTGCTACGGTGTTTGACAATAAAAGGATTAATAAAAAATGTCGAACCAGTAAAACTACAATTGAAAGAAAATACAAAACCAATTGCATTGCCAGCTAGAAGAGTACCGTTGCCTTTAAAAGTAGAAATTGAAAATAAAACATTGAAATATATACGAAATCTTACTTATGACACATTAACTCTATCAAGAAAAGAACTTAGAGATGAAACTGCGAAAGATCCAATTTTAGAGTAAAAATCTTATTAAATGGGACAAATATACAAAATCAAGCACCAGAATTACAAGCTTTTAGAACAAGAATAGATGAAATAGAAAATGATGACGGTATCCTATTTTGGAATGGTCGCTTAATAATTCCATATTCACTACAAAAACGAGTTTTACAGATATTACATACAGGTCATCCCGGTATCGATGAAATCCATTATGAGACATTATATATGGTGGGAAAAATTAGATAGGGATGTCGAAAAATTAGTCAACCGCTGTATTGGGTGTCAAAAACATCGCAGAGATATACCAGAAGTTGCCGTATATCCATGGAATCCGCCAGCACAACCCTGGGAAAGGGACATTTAGATTTTGCCGGACCACTAGACGGATTTTATGGTAGGAATCGATGCATATTCAAAATGGATAGAGATCAATAGAATCAAAGATACCACAAGTAAAAATTTAATAAATAGATTAGAAATGACTGACACGATATGGTGTTCCACGTCAAATTGTCACAGACAATGGTCCACAATTCATTTCAAATGAATTTTACAAATGGTGCAAAAATAAGAATATACAACACATAAAAACTACACCATACCATCCGAGAAGTAACGGATTAGATGCATACAAACTATAAAAAATTGGTATTTTGCTAATAGAGAACAAATGATGGGGAAAAATGCCTTAATGAAGTATTAGTTACATATAGAAATTCCGAACATTCCTCAAGGGGCCGAATACCTGCCAAACTATTTATGGGGAGAAGACTAAATACTTTATTAGACTGGGTGAAACCATCAATTCTGAAAAATTAGAAACCTCTGTAGTAAAACACGACCAGTTAAACAAAGGCATACATAGAGATTTTGGAGAAAACGAATTAGTTTGGATAAAAAATCCACTTGAAAAAGGATGGCATGAAGGAAAAATAATAAATCAACAAGCAAAATTCTCGTATAACGTAGAAAAAAGATAAAATAGTATGAAAACACGCAGATAAACTACGAATAAGGGAAGAACCAGACGAAACCAAATCAATAATACCAATTGAACCAAGTCAAAAAGGAAGGCAACCGCGTTATCCAACAAGGGGAACGAAAACCAACAAAAAGGTTAATAGATGAACTTGAACTTGGTAATAAAAAGATTGATAGACGATCTTAACTTGGTGGGAAAGAAGATATGTTATATTTGAATGTTTATATCAATGCATTGGTTTATATATATTTTAAAAGGTTACGCTATTTGAAATATTTCTTACATTTTATATTATCTTATGGAGGTTAATGTAATTGCATATTAGTTGTAGTTAAATGACATAATTATAAAAGTCTATATATAGGAAACAATTTTATAATAAAGAATCTATTGTTTTGACTTAAAATATACATATTAAAAATAATAAGTTTTTTAAAAGGTTATATAAAAAAAAGAATTTCGTCAAGGTCTTCCTTATATTTTATAAAAAGTATAAGAAAGAATTCGAAAAGGTCATTTAATTTAAATTGAAAAATGTATAAGTTTTAATATTCAAAATTTATATATTAATAGATGTTAATTTTGTATATATACTAAAATGATCATGATTACTTTCACCTTTTGTTTTTTTGATCATAGTTAAAAATAAAATCATCATTCTTCCTTAATTATTCAATACAATCGCACACAATTTATTTCATTCTGTTAATATGGAAGCCAATTGTATAAAAAATAGTTAACCTATTATTCGTTAAATAAAATTTATCATACCATTAATAAAAAGATTTTTTTTTTATAGTATCTTTTAATATATATTTTTTTAATCCTCTGTAAGTTATATAATTTATTTTATAAAATTTTTTTAAAAAATAATAAAAAAGTCGAATATAAAAAAAAATAAAATAAAAAAAAAATAATAAAAAAAAATAAACAATTTAAAGATAAAATAATATTATAGAAATAAACTAGCTGAAAATAAACAATATTACTACATACATTTATAATTATCACGGTTTTTATGTTAAAAAAGAATAATGTTAATTAATAATTTAAATCTATTATTTTATCTCCTTAGCAAACAACATATTTTAATATTATAAAATCACTTTTCTGAACTGAGTTTACATGGAAGCCTATAATAATCATCTCTCTATATATTAATTATAAATAGGTTTTACTCTAATTGTATTTTAGTAATGATTTATCTTAGCAAATTGTTAATTGCCCGAAAATTTGAATTATCAATATATGTCATATTTTTATCTGACGTTTTCAAACTATTACATAAACCATGCTTCTATTAACGTTTTTTGGAATTGTAAGCGTGCTAGCTACATTTGCCCTCTATAGCGCTGGATTGTAAAAATTAATTACTTTTATTCTAGTATTTATATATAAATTTTATCTATAGAACCACCTGTTCTAAAATTAAAAAACAAAAAAATACTGATGGTATATCCCCGTTTCCTTTTATATTTGGATTATTATGGTAATAAAATCATTTGTTATTTAATATTCTTTTAAAGTGCTGCAATTAATTTTGAGTATGGAATATATAAAGATGATAAGTCTATAATCTGTACTAATGTATTTGGTATAATATGTCAATCAAGCTATGTTGTATTATATATATTTTTTTCAATGCAGAAGGTATTTTAACTATTGTTATATTTTCTTAATGAATTTATAGAAACAATTATTAAAAATGACTGGATTAACTTTGATGATAATTGGCTTAATATCATTATATGTTTTTCATATCAAACAACAAAATGAATACCTGGCTATTCAATATTTGGGTATTAGTTCATGTACATTGGCACTAATATTTTTTGCCTCTCCTTTGGCATCAGTGGTACTATACATAAAACTATTTACCATATTATAAAAGTTATTAGCTTACCGTATTCAAAGAAAAAAGTGTTAAATCAATGTCTTTTACATTTTCAATGGTTGCTTCTCTTGTTTCATTGAGTTGGACTATATATGGAACCTTGATATCAGATCCTTATATACAGGTTAGAAATGATCAGATCACAATTTATTCAATTTTGTAATCTTAGGATTTGTAATATTTAATTATTTATTCATAGTAACATTAGAGGTCTGCAAAGTCTAGCCCAGTCCACTTTAGACTGTTAATTTTTGCACAAGTTGTCCAGCCTGGCCAAAAAATTATTTGCCCATTAAATTTTTAAAAAAAAATTGCTTATGAAAATTCAGGCCCAGCATGACCCATTAATGAAAAGTCAACCATCTTTATACCACTGGCTTATGCTGGTAAAGCTGTTGATTAAGATAGGCTATGCCCCTGGCTCTTACAATTTTATTTTAAAATTTAAATATTCAAATTAATAAATTATAAATTATATTACTATATAATGACTAGTAATAAATTCAGTAAAACCATTTGCTAGACAATGACCAATTTTTGAAGACATGCTTTAACAATCAAATTTTTGAACAAAACTAAATTTTATTGAAATGCAATAAAACCCATTTTTTAAATTATAGAAGGTGGAATCAAATGATCGTTTCCTATATTCGGTCTGTACTCTGGTCCTACATAATTTAATAACAGTTGATGGCATAAAAAATACAAGAATTAATCATGTTAAAAAAAAAACTAGAGAAGTCATTTCATATATCAAGTAGATGAATGAAATGTGAAATTGAGGTTGAGCATTATAAAGCCTGCAATCAATTTATAAAACTGGCCATTTAGATGGTGTTGTTTCTGATTCATACTTTGATGTCTCTGGTGATGCTTGTAATATAAATTTCAATGTAGAATCAGATCAAATTAATATAAAACCTTAAATTTAATTCCCTATCTATTCACGCAGCATATTAATTATGCTAGAAAGTGTTTTTATAATTATATAATATTAATTTATTTGTTTTTATAAAATTAATAGCTTATTTTAATAGGATATAAATATATAATTCTTGGTACAAGTTTTTCTATGTGAAAAAACTTTACAAAGTTAAGAAAGATATTTTAAACTTTACAGAAAATATCCATGATCCTATAAATAAGATAAATAAAATAAGGAAACAATCATTAAAACTTTCCAATACTGATTGGGATCTAGTTCACTAACTATTCACATCATTGAACAGGGTTGCCAGGTCAAAATTTTCAAATTGTGGGAGAAATTTGGTATTATGCGGGAGAAATATGGAAATTGCGGTAGAAATATAAAAATTGCTAAAATAAATTTTTTTGCGGGCCAGCCGGGATTTTGAATTGACTTAAATATCCATCTACTATTTTTAATAATTAGTTTATATAAATACAAAGTCGGTAATTATTTTTCAAAATAAAATAACATCTTGATTTATTAAAATATAATAATTTATAATAAAAAAAACATCTTTTTTAAATATAAAAGAATGTAAACAAGATAAAATTTTATTAAAAAAAAAGATTTTAATTTTACAATTAAAAATATATTTTATGCGAATGTCCCGCAAAACAACCACAATTAGAGATCTACCGTGTGTGTATAACATTATAGGGATAGGCGCTTAATTATTAGTTATCACGTTTAAATACATAATAAGATACTCCAAAAATAATAAGAAACAATACAGATGCAACTACAGTTGCGGCAATTGTAATCACTTTTCTTGTAGTACAACATTCACAGAGATACCTAAATCCAGGAGGTCAATTCTTGACGATTTGAAAGATGAGCATACATATGCAATTTTAACAGATGCATCTAATAAGGGAAATATTATAATACCTTGATCCTCCGCTATTTCAACAAAATTAAACTATTAAATTTTTTCCCCTCAAATAGTGAAAAATCCTAAGACATAGCTAACCATAATGGTAAATATAGCAGATTCGAGATTATCAATAAATTGCATATCAGCTTTCTGATCTGATAATGCCTCAGTGAATTTGGTAAAACAGAATGTATTTACAGAATTGAGTCAGCACAAGGTTGCGATATGTTCCTAATACCCGCCATTGATAGAATTTTAAAATTTTATAAACCTTTAAAAAATATTTCTTAAATAAAGATTATAAAAGCTATCCTAACATGAAAATATTTTTCAATAATGAATGGCAGAGGTATATTTAGGAATGATTTCACATGTAGGAAATCTGCTACATGCTGTTAATGTGTAGCTGCAGTCAGAAGAATCTTAACAAAGTTTCACAAAATTATGCTGCAGATGTGTTCATCTTTACAGTTAAAAATTGACAATAAATTTTATGGTGCCATTGCTAAAACTTAATTATATTTTATTTGAGATTTAAATAATAGAACTAAATGTTTACCGTCGTTATTGAGATATTTATTAAATTCCTGGCATGACATATTATATATTTGTTTAACCATTAGTTCGGCATCTAATGTTAAATCAATCCGATTTCTCTCCTTTTTCCAGGCAGTCCTCATCATGGTAAAAATGCGCTCGGAAGAGGCATTAGAATGAGGTAAGGAGAAGGCATACTCGCATATTTTTTCCAAGCATGGGGATTTATCGTTATTACGAAAATATTCTACCCATTTCTCTGCTTTTAGACCATCAACCTTTAAGTATTTTGGCGAATCATAAAAAATAGAGAGAATTACAATCTCCTCAAACAAGACATCAATGTCTTTCGGTATTTTTAATATATTTATTAAATTATAAAAACCATCAATTGATGGTTTCTGTTCCAAGGTCATAATATTTATACATTTGTAAAGTTATTAAAATCTTGATTGTAAATATTCTAAAATTGTCTTAACAAAAATATCTGCTTCATTTAAAAATGTATTAATTAGAGTATTATTTGAACATTTTAATATAATATTTCTAGCAATAGCGTCATAAAATTTATTATCAATTTTTAACTGTAGAGATGAACAGGGCTGTAGCATGATTTTGTGAATCTTTTTTAATAAAGAATATTCTAATTGCAACTGAATATTAACTGTATGAAGTAGATTTCCTACATGTGAAACTTATCCCAAATAAGCTTCTGCCATTTCATCTTCAAAAAAATTTTTCAAAATTTTAGGACAGCTTTTAAAATTTTTATTTAAGAAAGATTTTTTTAAGGGTTCGTAAAATTTTAATTCTACATTGGCAAGTATTAATGATAACCACCTGATAAGTACATATCGCAACAACTCACGCCATTCCAAGTCAGATCACTTCACCAACTCTTTTAATTCATTAACTCATTTAATTGATGAACTAAATTCGTTAAAACATTTCATCACAATTATTTCGACATCCACAGATAGTACATTCACTGCCTTCTTGCAAGAATTATGTAGTATATGGCATATACAGCCAATTGGTATTAATTCATTATTGTGCTGTCTCAATTCGGTAACTTTAGTTTTGGCCAAAATTTACAGAGGCATTATCAGCGCAGAAAGCTGACATGCAAATCATTGATAACCCTAAATCAGCTATATTTACCATTATGTGGCTAGCTACATCGTTGAATTTTTCACTATCCGAAGAAATAATTTTAAGAGTTTTATGAAAATGTTCTTATTCTTGTTGAAATAGCGAAGGATCGATGGAAATGTTTTAATATTTCCCTTATTAGATGCATCTATTAGAATTGCATATGGATGCCCATCTTTCAAATCGTCTAGAATTGACCTCTAGGATTCAGGTACTAAAACACTTGTGCTCATTTTTGTTCTGCCACAAGTAAGGTTTGCACTTATATTGGAGTCGTTAAATATCATGAGTAAAAGATTCGACCCACATTCTGATGATATAGCTCTACGAATGTTGAACTACATGATAGATGTATACGATTTCCGCAAATGTAGTTGCATCTGTATTATTTATTATTTTTGAGAATATTTTTGTATTGCAATCGATGTTGATATACTCCCCTGTCCTGACTGACTTGTATGAATGAAATGATGTTGATTTATTATTGGATAAAAATAAAACAGGATAGAAAGAAATTTACAAACTAGACATGTTTTTCGAATAAATATTTAAAATTTATTTTAAAAATATAAAAATAATCAATTAATGTCTCTCAAAATTATTATTTATATATTGAAAACGTTAAAATACTTAAAAAAAAATTGCGGTAGATTTTTGCCGGAGATTTCCAATTGCGGTAGATTTGCGGGAGAGAGATGTCTGCTTCTGAAAAATTGCGGGAGTCTCCCGCTGATGGGGTAGTCTCCCGCTGATGGGGTGAGACATGGCAACCCTGTCACTGAATCCATTCAGATACTGTATAATTTCTTACCTCCCAAAATGGATCAACAATTAATTTATGTTTATTATTTCGCAGTGAAATAGAAATAGATCAATGAATTTTATTGCTCAGCTATCATTTGTCTAGAAGAAAATTTGCAAAAAAGTTTGACCATGGATTCCCAATTGCAGAACTGCAAGTAATTTCTTTTATGTAATTATTTTTTATTTAATATTTTCATTAATAAACATTTATTTAAAATTAGTAATTAGCAAAATTATTTGATTAAAGATTTTAAGATGTTAAAATTGGTTCAATAAATTCATATTTTACAACATCATTGCAATTATTAATTAGACATTTAAACTTATAAAGCACCATGAGAATGAGATTCAAGTTGAAGTTAATATCTAAAATAGTAAACAAATATTTCCAAGCAAAGACTATCATAACACTAGTAATCTGTAGCAAGAATGCCACATTTTACTCAACCAACATACTGTACCATAACAATATGCACTAAGGGAAAAAAATCGGCGGAAACTTCTTAGACATACTAATTAGGAAACTACTTTGTATATCTGCACAATACATCTAGCGAAATCATCTTTTCCCACTGGATTAATATTCAATGTTAAAAGAATCTATATGCCCCCCAATCTCTACAAATTAATATATATATAACAGTTATAATTTCATTTGCTATATTCTTAGATTTAGTTATTTATTTTTAAATAGTATTATCAAAATATTAGCTTGAAATTTAAAAAATAAATCAAAATTTTAATGCCCAGGCTGGCCTAAATTTTATAAAAAATCTTGCATGACTCA